TATAGCGTCATCATGATGTCATTAATCCATATTGTGTATGAAATTACATTATTTGTATATTAAAGTAACCAAAAAAATTTAAACACAATTATGTAAAGACGAATGTAACTTGAGTTATATATTTCAGTGTCTTTAGACGTTGTTACTAGTGTGTTTTATTGTGAAGTGTCCCTGTTAACGCGTGTACAACAGAAATTCAAATCCTTGTTGCGTTTTTAACATATTTTAATCTGTGCTCATAATAGTTAAATACATTTACGGCTTTGAGCACAACTGAACAAATAGCATAACTTGTTCGTATTTGGAGCAGTATAATTTGTATACTTCTCAAATAGTTTAAATTTTTTAAATAATCTTTTTTTTTTTTTTTGCCGTAATTACTGAAGAAAATGTTTGGTAAGCTTTCATAGCAATGTGATTATAAGGCATCCTCTAGAAAAAACTAAAATCTCTAAAAATTAATTCAATAAATATGTCAAGAAGAGCGCCATCATTTCAAAGCATAACTGACAAATATGCAAATTAAAGATGCAATGTTCGAACCCAACAAACTATACTTCAGGAAACATAGGTGACGACATTCCAGATTATCATCTAGCGATGAATTCCATGTAGTGTGGTTTTGGACGTGGAGGTGATTCTATAGTATAGAGTATACACTATATATACTTATTCGCATCCAATGTGGCCACGTGCTTATGGCGTTACTGTTAAACAAAACACGTGGATAATCACATTCTATCCTCAACATGCTTTTTCTTACGGGAGAGGTTAATTAATGACCTATGTTGCTGCTAAATAACCTCAAAATACAACATGGACGTATGAATGGACTTGCCACTGTGACTAGTATATGTTAACTGTTCAAGATTACAAATTAAACAGCCCGACATTTCTAATTTTAAATTTCATACCAATACCGTTGTGATAGCAATTCGTGTCCATGAGCCAGTCTAGGGGTCAGTCTATAACTAACAAGGGGCTAAATAATGAAACACTTGTTCATGTCTCAGTACGTTAGTTCCTTGTATCTAATTATAGCCGCGGCCAGATGGGTTGCAGACATCCGATAAACTATGCCATAATCAAGCCGACTTGTCACAATTAATATTAATATGTGTTTTATGTGTGGCTGATTTTACGACTTGTCCTGTTGAATATACATCGTAAATAGTTTCTGCAAATGTCAACAATTAATTTATTTGTATTACTGCCATAAAACGACCGCACATACCCGGGCGGGTGGGGGTAGCTTGCCAACTCGGACGACATCAGACTCCACAAGCAAACGAGTAACGTGTTCTTTAGTATTCAATAAATGACAAAAAGATTTTACCGGTGTTTAAAAATGTTCCCAAAAGCTCGATTCGTGATTTGTTAGTGGATTTGGGATAAATTTGTTTGCGCCATAATGGCGGCCGAAGATGCATATTCATGATAAATCTTGTTGGCATTTTTCGGCGACGGATTAACAACTGTGTGACCAAAGTTTGTACAACGAGAAATTATATGTCATCGCACGATTTTTTTAGTAGCGAATACACATTTAGAATTTTCCCCGCTAAAAATATTTTACAACACTCCTTCAAGTACCAAAAATCATCCGATGAAATGTATTCGATTGAGGACCGGAATGGTGTCAAAATGCGTATGTCAACGAGGTTAGTACGTGCACGGGAAGAACAATGTAGACTTTAGAATTAATAGTACAACGGTCATTTTGACAAATAAATCACTGGCAGATGAAAATATTTCTGACGTGATTTTTATTCTCATGTTAAAAAACAGCAAATTTATTTTCGCAAATCTGTCCCGAAATGAGTAACCTAAAACTTTAAAACAAAGCCCAAAAGACTGAGGTGAATTTGTAGTTTGGTAGTTTGTTATTCATCAACTCCAGTGTCAATAATGGAAGTTTACAAGTAGTATATCACGTCTGTACACAAATATTGAGGTCCGCTGATCCCGTTTTAAACTGCCAGGTGATTCCAAAATCGCTGCTAGCAATAAATTTACTCTCCTATCCCACTCCTTTCAGTGCGGACCGTTAAAAGATGGTTGTTTTGTGATTTGCATCACCCGTATGATAAGTCACGTGACAATACAAGGGGCATCGCAGATAACTGCGCTACTTCTACAATCGTAACTTTGATATCTCAAGTATTTTGTAGTCCATATGCGAAAACACGCACTCTGTATTTTGCACGTAATCTACAGACCTACGTGCAGCGACAGTAATGCAGAAATATGTCTTCATTTGACATCAGGTGGCGGTGAGCTACAGGGTCGATTTGAAGCGGGTCGCTTCAGGTGCCGAGCTGTCTGAACTATCGATCAAATTACTTTGTAATTGTAAACAATTTAATTGGGTTAAGGTTATTAGCAATGAGTATAATATCTAACATACTACCTGGCAACATACGATATACACAGTTACGTATATATATTTTTGGGAAATGTGATCGTCACTCACAAAGTATCTAGTTAACATCAAGAATCAGTGGTTGACGAAAAAAAACAAAAAAACACATGCAATCATATGGCAGCGGCGGGCATCTGCTGTACCGACAGGTCATAACACGAAGGCAGTCAAGCTAGTGGGCGTAACATTCGTTTGAAAATCACGAATTTACGCGCCAGTTTTTCGGTTATTTGAAGTCAGTGTACAGTGGAGCGATGAAAATAAGTAGCCTGGCGAGACAGCTTAATTACGTTGTCATCCCGGCTGACGAATACCACGTGTTATAATTTCCAAACAGACACTTTTTTCGCTTTGGGTGGCATCCTAACCTAGTTGCGCTTGGCCACGCACATGTTCGCGGAGGGCACGAGTAAACATGCAATGAACACACCTGCGTCCAATAGAGCATTGACGCGCGCTCGTCCCTGTGACGAACTGCAGAAGATTCAACATACCTATAACATCGCTCGAATCCTACTATCAGACCAAGGTTCTTCAAAAAAAAATACCTCGTTCAAGTGTGGGTAATTTTTTACGCCACTTCAGTCCTTCAATGGCTTATCGCAGTAGCAATAACTCAAGTCTACTCGTTGACGTCAAATATGAACGATATCTTCATCGCAAATGCTGCCAAGGCAAATTTTGTGAACGGTATCGACCATTCTGTACGCGTTAGTTCTTGTATTATACAGGTTCATAATCCAGAAAAGGCAATTGACAGAATGTTGACACCTGCGAGTATTGACCACGAAGTGAACGACAGCGCTAATCAATCATATAATAATACGTGAGGACAATATTGACAATACAGTCATTTTAGAAATATCGTTTATCTACCTATTTATACCGATACATTCGCGATGATAATTTGACCACACTCTGAGTGTACATAAAACCCCCATGTCACCGAATAGTGCATGTGTATCATTAAATCGGTGCAACGTGTTGCTTGGACATTACCTATCGCATGACAAATTATTTACAGTTTTCAATGGGCTTGTGTTATATAAACGGTCTGTACGCGTGCCATCTTTTGTTACGATGAAACGCTACACACAACACGCAGCGCGCTCGACTTTTACACGCGTTGTATACGTCGTTTGAAATGCACGCGTCGCGTGAACGGCGACGCTTTAACTGTGGATAGACTCGGCTCTATCCACCTCACCCCTCCAAAAAATAGGGATGAATAAAAATGCTGGACATGTATTAAGTAGGCACAATCAGTTTGTACAAAGGTCGCCTATCAATGACTTGAGTTAAAGCCTATTACACAACTGATGTCCATATATGTATATCGTATTCACGGTAACCTTCCGGTCATGCCCCGATAATATCTAACCTTTGCAGTGCGAACTTTGACATTTAACAATGATTTCAAAGCATTTAAACGGGTCTGTCTAGACTGGACGCCATGCCCTCCGTGGCAGAGTCTTGAACAGTTGATGCGAGCATCGTGAATAAAAAGACTTTTTTCCCAAAAAAGTCACGTGACCATTAGTGAACTATAAGCTAAACACGGGGTTCATAGCTTTCCGATCATTTTGCTTGGTTTAGCCTAAATCTCTATGTTTGTGTAGCTGGCAATAAAAAGTCGGTCACCTTCAGGGTTTATCAACCCATTCTATATTATAAAATGTAGCAGAGGAAGAATGGGAGAGCGAGAAGGATGAGTGAGACGATAAACACCTGGGCAGACATATTACAAAAACAAATACGAGTAAATCCAGTTGAACGCTAAAGCATTATATTGGTAATACTGTTACACATAGAGAGGTACTGTGAATAAAATTGTACAGTTTCTACTCATGGTTACGCAAATGAGCGTGCGCTTTATTTACTGGTACGTACTATTAATTTAAAATGCACGCGCACTTCCCTATTTCACCGAATTCCATAATTGCTTTGATCTTAGTCCTGTAAATAAATATTTAAAAAAAACTCTATTGAAAAAAAAAACAGGTCACTAAAGTAAGTATTGTATTTCACTGTTCAGTTCTCCCTAAACCAATTTCAGTTCGTATTTTCTTTTATAGATTTGCCATATCACTTGACTTATTTGCATACCATTACTTCAATTTGTAGGGCAGGTCCACTGACCCTAAGCTATTGTTGCAGGTCACGATAACCCACGCAAAGGGCAGTTCCATATTTCTAGGGAAGTGTCGTTATTTCAGTTGGGTCCGTTGATGAGGTCGTGGAAATAAATCGACGTGCCATATGGCAATTCATGGCTCCTTCCAACTGAAACAAATGTACTCGTTACTGCAGGCGAGGTGATAAAGCGTTGCAGCGTGAAGCGACACGTTTTCACATTGTTCAAAATAGTCGCAACACTGGCAGAAAACAAATGGTCAACCTCTAATTTAATTTTATTGTTTGTGCTTCAGTATTGAAGTCACTTGGGTCACACTGTATTAATCTCGGTGACGTCATCGTTTTGACACACATTGTTATATTCCGTTTACGTAATTAATCGCTTTCACTTTATTTCGGGTTGTTTACTTCATTGGAACGATCGACGCCCCTGGGAACACACCTCGACAAGTTCCCTGTGGGCTACGTCCGCCAACCCAAGAGACAGTTGTCGTTGGTGGCGTAAACACCGTGAATCTTCGTTTCGCTCTTGAACCATGGAAGGTACTAACGAATATTTAGTACCTTCCATGCTTGAACTAAACGAACTGAACACGTTAACTACTTCAGGGAATAACGGACGACGAACTGCCCATTATTGCGTGGCAACAGGGTTATCAAGCAATATTGGGTAGTGCGGAGTCCTTTATTTCAGTTATTATACGGTAACCTTGGCCTGTCGTAAAATATACAACTATTATTTATTCAATGGCACACGTACTGGTACGTACTATTTATTCACCTGCACACATACTGATACGTACTACTTATTCACCTGCACACGTACTGAACGTATTATTTATTCACCTACACCCGAACTGGTACGTAGTATTTATTCACCTGCACACGTACTGGTACGTACTATTTATTCACCTACACCCGAACTGGTACGTAGTATTTATTCACCTGCACACGTACTGGTACATACTATTTATTTACCTACACACGTACTGGTACGTAATATTTATTCACCTACACACGTACTGGTACATACTATTTATTCACCTGCACACTTACTGGTACGTACTATTTATTCACCTGCACACTAACTGGTACATACTATTTATTCACCTGCATACGTAGTGATACGTACTATTTATTCACCTACATACGTAGTGATACGTACTATTTATTCACCTACACACGTAGTGATATGTACTATTTATTCACCTGCATACGTAGTGATACGTACTATTTATTCACCTGCATACGTAGTGATACGTACTATTTATTTACCTGCATACGTAGTGATACATACTATTTATTCACCTGCACACGTCTGGTACGTACTATTTATTCATCTGCACACGTACTGGTACGTACTATTTATTCATCTACATACGTACTGGTACGTACTATATATTCATCTACATACGTAGTGATACGTACTATATATTCATCTACATACGTACTGGTACGTACTATTTATTCACCTGCATACGTAGTGATACGTACTATTTATTCACCTGCATACGTAGTGATACGTACTATTTATTTACCTGCATACGTAGTGATACATACTATTTATTCACCTACATACGTACTGGTACGTACTATTTATTCACCTGCATACGTAGTGATACGTACTATTTATTCACCTGCATATGTAGTGATACGTACTATTCATTTACCTGCATACGTAGTGATACACACTATTTATTCACCTGCACACGTACTGGTACGTACTATTTATTCATCTACATACGTACTGGTACGTACTATATATTCATCTACATACGTACTGGTACGTACTATTTATTCACCTGCATACGTAGTGATACGTACTATTTATTCACCTGCATATGTAGTGGTACATACTATTTATTCACCTGCACACTTAGAAGTACGTATTATTTACTCACCTAGACACGTACTGGTACGTACTATTTATTCAATTTCACTCGCATTGTTTGAACTAAAACATAATGTTTTAGTTCAACTTAAACCATATCCGTAACACGTATGCAATATTCAGCACGTTAACCATATTGCAGCTCCAAACATCTCTATTTTGCTAACTTATACGTTAGTGTTTCTTTCAGATATATTGGCATTTCTAGGTTGTCAAGGGTTACATATAGACACCTTGGAAAGAGACTCTAGTATAACATTGCATTGTGTGACGGCATAAATTGAATACCAGAAAGGGCACCAGTAGAAGGAAAAGGTCGGACCAGTCCGGTCGAAATGGGGGATCACGTGATTATAGTATTTACTAACAGACTAACATACCCTGGTACTACGTACATACAAACTGCTTATTTCTCGAAGTGTTTTAAAACAGAATATATACACTGTACGCGACCTACATATCTATGGATACAAATGATGCAAACTTCCCAGTCCAAAGACCCCGATCGCACTATAGAATGCCGTGTTTGTATAACAACAGTTCAGCATTTTTCGCTTATGCATAACACAGTTCGTTGCTCGGATATATACAATGTTTTGTGTCACGCCAGAAAGATCGTATTGATGGGGAATAATAGGGAGGAAAAAAACAAGAAAAACAAATTTAACTTGTTTAAATATAAGAAGAAACATAAATGTGTCGAGTCAGTCAGTACCCAGATTCTGGTGCTTAAAAAATTGGGACAGAGAGAGAGACATGGTATATATATATATATTGGGACAGAGAGAGAGACATGGTATATATATATATATATATATATATATATATATATGATATATATATATGATACATTTCGGATTACTTGAAGCTATGCGTTCCTAAAATATCATAGATACAATGGCAATAAGAAGTATGCGATGATAGCGTGTATAATACACGCCGGGACAATGATGGATTATTCTATAAGAGATTTTATGTATATATAGTAATCCAGGGGTGTTGGACGTCGTCCATTCCGATGTGTGTGCGTAATGTCGAACAAGTCATATTAGTGTACGCGTCGTCGACTCCTTTCACGACGCGAACACTATTTTGCAATGTGCTTACAAAATACGGGTTAAATGTTCACATCAACAAGGCGGAACACCGTGGCTTTGTTCTCGAATCAGAATGGGCAAGTCTCGAGTAACACGAACGTATTTCAATTGAATTAATAGCGAAGATCATTATGCGCACTTTGAACTATATAGTAAAATCACAGACACCCCCGCGCCCCATCGGACTAACTGAATAGGTATGTCCGTACCTCTGCTAATAGTTTGAGAAAAAAAGCCAAGCTGTCGAGCCTTTGTTTAAGGCGTGAGATGAGAAATGACAGGGCACGGGGTCACGAACAGGTGGCATTGGTCTCCATGATACGTTCGAATATATATATTTGCACTATTGGCCCCTGGTTTGTAATATTACAGAAAATGCTGACCCGCTGAATTAGGGAAATTGACACATTTTCTGGGGTTTTTTTTGGGGGGGGGGGGGAAGAGGACGTTTTCAGTCCTCAGCTTTGCAATTTGTGCAGACGCATGTTATGCTTCAACGACCAATTGCCATAACTGTGTCACCATGCCACTAGTACGGCACGATATTACTTGTCAAATAGTAGTACAATCAAAATTATCTTTTGATCACCATCATATTAATTTTGTGAAACTGACACTTTGAGTTTCAAAGTTGTCCAGATTATAGCCAGTACGTCTAGGCGAGAGAAGACCATGCCAAATCAAGGTTAGTGAGCTGCAGAAGATTATGGCTGATACCTTTTTTTCAAACCCAACCTTGCCACTTAACACGGATTGGCTTTGGTGAGTTCAGTACTTCATTATTCTCCGAGAGGGTCGAATTCCAACGATCGTGACGACCCATATCGCATTGGTTTCCGTGACACCGTGCATAGGACTGGGAAACCCAAGACAAACTTAGTGTGGCTGTATAAACAATACGTACATATGCAAAGCCATAAGCAAGCAGCTTGTATTGGAATAAGCCTAACTAGGAATGTGATGCAAATTTCTCCTCGTTTGCCATTGTCGGCGCTGTCGTGATTTCCGGATTTATTGTCAAGTAAAGTTGTTCGAATAGTTACTCGACTAGGATTATTATTAGAAAAAAAAAATGCTAATAAATATTTTACGGTTAGCGTAGGTAGATAGCATACTTTTAAAATCACTAACAATTTTGTACCCAAAATAAAAAATAAAGAAAGAGCATGATAAAGAACAAAATTATTATTATTCGGACTAACTGAATTTGCTGCGCGTTTGCGGAGGAAGATCGGTATCTCATGAACGTAAGTAACCATTGACAACGATACAATTCAAACAAACATGTAACAAGTCTTAACGCGACATTGCTACAACATTTGTATGTGTAAAATAAATCACAACTTTAGCCCTATACGTTAACCGTAGATTAAAATTTCAAGTGGCAAATAAATTAAGGTATCGTCCTGACTCGATTATACCTTGCCCTTCAACGATGGAGCCACCTAGACAATGTCGAACACACATCTGAATTGAGCTTGTAAATACACACACACTTAATACCAGCCATATCTGATTACCTGGAAGCTGAGCGCAACACGAGGAAAAGCTAGGGTACACCTGTCCAGAGGACCGCAGAATCTTTGATTTCAGAAGACTCTGCTCCGCCCCAGTCTTGCACCAGTCCACATATACAGCGACTTTCGTTAATGAGAACAATTAGCTGTGCCCTGGACACTGAATTTCGAGACTTAAAATTATTATCAATTTGAATTTAGCCCCAATAAAAAATTGGTGCTACTACTGTTACTATACTTATTGTTTATTTATATTAATATTTAGACCCGAACAACATAATCCCGTCTAACTATCTACCTTTTTTGAGTACATACTGTCATCGCCATATGTCTTAGGAGTTTCTGTGAATATAATAATAGAACACCATTCTGTGACAAATTGGGGTTTTCTCTAAGAGCTTCGTTCTGTGATGATCTGGAAACTCCGTGACAGGACCGCTCTGGACCTCTATGAGAAGACCATTTTCTGACAAATGGCCGTCGAGATCCCGTTGAGAAAGAGAGAGCAACGAGACTTGTATTGTGATATTGTCCATTGTTCTAAATACCATTGTTACCTAGGTCAATGGAACAGTACATTCGATGACGATGGTACACTATTTGAGGGGAAAACAAGTGATATATGCAGCCATTCGCATCCAAGGTTTATTTATCTGACACGATTGTCTTTGAAACCAGATTTCCAAACATATACCGGAATAAGCCACCTCTCAAAATAGTATGTAATAGAAACACCACGAGAAAGTGTGTGTTTACAGATATAAACCCCTCGTTTTGGTCAGAGTCGAGTAAATTGAACGATAGTGCCAACGTTAAGCCCGAGTGCAATTGACAGGACTCTGGTCGAAACTATGGGGATATCTGTAAACGCATCCGTTCGAAATACGATAAAATTAGAAGTTTCAGCAATCGGTTGCAATGTACAAAAAAGAATGACTCATGAATAATTCAATGTATATCACTTGACATTGAAATGACCCTTCTAATGTCCAAATCTACTTGTTGTGGTTGATGTTGTGAGTTCGAACTCCTTACTATGCCAACATTTTCAAAAAATTCAGAAGAA